GTCGTATTTGGCTTCTGATAAAACAATACTGGCACACCATTCTACCTCAAAATGCTGCCTGTGGCTCAAGCCTTTTGTCCCTAAGGAGTGTCATAAACCATCCATGAGATGAAATATGGACCCATGTAGATTTAGACAGAAGACAGTGGTTCTGATGACTTTTTAAAATTAAAAATTATAAAGCCGGGCATGAAGGAAGACCACATGTGTTTTCACTCAGTGCCACTGGCACACGGTACCAATGCTCTCAAGGCTGTACATAAGGTTTCTTGCTGTACCTTTACAGCACCTGGGAATACTGAAATTCCTTCCCTTCAGTGTTTTCCCCTTCTCCTTCTCCCAAAAATGCAGCACTCAAACCCAACGTACCGTTACATCCATAAAGAAATTAGTAGCATGTATCAGTTCTTGAAATCTCTATCTAACACACAAGACTTAGGGTTAATGTTACCCATTCAGTCAGTAATATTTATTTATGGAGTTTTTTTAGGCTTCAAGCAGTTCTTTGCAAGAAGACAGAGGCACATGTGTAAGGATTCCAATGATCTTACTCTAAACAACAGTGCATGCTGCTGGTCTTTCTCCTCACTGGAGACAATACATTCCCCGAGATCAAAACTGTTGATCTCAGCCAAATTTGTGATCTGTTCCAGTTCTGCTCCTAATGGCTAATACTGTGGTCATAGGCACTGACTTTGTGCAGTTGAGATATCTTCTATGTGAATGTCAAATGTTGTCTTTACACAAAGCTTCATTGCTTAGCATCTGAAACTAATAACACAGCCCCTGCTTTCTCCCCTGTATGCAAGGTAAAAATTCCCTTTGCTGATCTGTGAACTGGACCATGATCCAACATGGGCTACTCTGAATGCTCTAGTCACCTATCTGCTTTGTGAAAATCTGCCAGCTCCTGACAACTGCTTGCAAAGTCTTCTTTAGAGATCCTATAGAAATGAAATGATGTGTGTTTCAATATACAGTTTCTTTTGCTTATCCAAGAGGTTCTCTAATAGAATATAGACATACTCTCTTGTTTTCCTTGAAACTCTTTTTGCTTTACAGAAAAGAATCTCTTTCATGCTCAATGAAAGCATGAAAGCTTACCTCTTCCTTTTCCATTGCTCCCACATTTGAATGGCAAACTAATGGCTTGACTACTCAGACGTCTCAGGTACTTGTGTAGCGAGTGTTTATGGTTTGAACTCCGTTGAACAAGAGAAATGGTAATTTTTGCAAAGCGAAATATTCTGTTCAGTTTGTGCAAATTTAATTTGGTTTCCAGTTTCTCAAAATACAGTGATGCATTATCTTTTCTCTCAGAATTCTAGCATGCACATTAGTTGTAAAATGAGCTTGATCTGAAGCTAAATTATTATGTTGCATTGAAGTAGGTTGCTACTTGCAAGACATCTATATCATTTGCAGCAGAGGCTGTAGAGAACGAGAAGGGCAATTATAAGAAAAAGAACAACTGTTTCATATGGCATTCTCTGGAAAATTGACTCCCTTCAAAAGAACGCTCAGAGCAGAAATAAATCAAGGTATACACATCCCTCAAGTATAATGCTGACGGGTATGGAAGAAAAGTCCATGAAAAAATGGTCTTCTGGAAAGGCTTTGGATGGTATGCAAAGTGCAACAAAATTTGAGCAAAGAGGAGAAAAATATGGAATAGCAGTTTCTTGTGGAACAATCTGTGTTCTCTTACTCCACTATATCATGGGATGCACTGAGAAACATAGAAAGCAATTAAATAATCACACCATTATAAGTATGCACATGTGAATGAAATTACAATTCCACTTCTTCAGCAGTTCCACAATTTCTTAATATATGAATACAACTTTGGAAATGCTAGGGTCTTTTATTTTTCACTAATTTGTGTGTGTGGTGATGTATAGCAATCACACACACACAAATACACACACATATATATATATATATATATATATATATATATGATTTAGTGTTTCATCTTAATGAGATCTGAGAGCTACTTATTAATGTGTTTTGAGTCCTTAGAATTCAAATTTTCCTTTTTCTCTGTGGAGAAGGATGAGCTGAACCAGAGCACTGAGAGGCATTATGGAACAGTTGACACTAAAATGGAAAATAATAAAATGTGACAGATCTTGCAATAATAAATAGTATTAGATAAATAAATTTATAGGAAAGTTTAAGAGTTAAAATAACTGTTGGGATAAATGACTCTGTAAACAAGCATTTTTCTGAGTAAGATTCAAATGAAGGACCACAGGGAATGCTAGTGAAACCACTGTTTCAGACACTTGGATGAAAATTTATGAATTGTTGAAAAACATTTCAGCCAGATTTCTGAGAGAGGGCTATGTGACATTTTTCTGGTCCGGGTAAATTAAATCTGCTGCTTTATAAAAATATAAGAACAGGATTCTCAGTTAATCTTAATATTTTATCAGACCTCTAGATTAATGTTTGTATAATTTTTAATGTGGCAATTTTAATTATTAAAAAATTAGAAAACCAGATGGAATTACAAAACAGCAACAGATTACTTAATTAACTTTTGCCTACTGGGATAAATAGAATATACCACAGAACATATCAAAGCAGACACCAAGGAGACACTATACCTCTATTAGTATGCAGGAGGTTTTCTCTTCAGATAGCAGTTCTTATCAGACATAAGCATATGCCTATCAATGTTATTAAATAAACCTAGCAACTCCTCATGTTATAATCCACAGAATATAACATCATGGCAAAAATATGAAGAAGTATTCTATGATGCTCCCTGCAGATCACTGAAATCTCCCACCTAAGTACATGAGGTGGACAAAAATGAAAAAAAATAATTGCTATTATTTTATGAAGGAGTATAATATGTCAGTTAGTTTGCAAATACTAACAAACGTCTTTCAGCTGTGAAAGGGCCTTAAACCAAAAGTAATCAAAACATCAGATTTTAAAATTGTTGACATATTTGTCTAATCATATTACAAATACTCTGCCAGCTCCATTGCATGACATCTATTACATACCTGGGTAAAAATAGGAGTGAATATGATGAAGAGCAGACCTGTAAACCCGTAATAATATAAATCTTCTTTACTTATATGAAATATCCTTTGAACTTATTGAAGTACTACATAGATATTTGTAAATTTCTTAGTATGATTTGCAAAGATGTTCTCTGAAATAAAAGTTTTTTTCAAACAGGATTCCAGAAGCTCTACAATTGCTTCTTTTGGAATGAACCCTAGCTGATGACTCCCAAGATTCCCAGAAAAACTGATGATAATTACTGCACACCAAATACGTTCCTACATGATGTGCACTGATACCTTTTTATTTAATAAAAATGAGTGTCACCATATATATGTGCATACATTTGGTTATTGCTATCAGAATTAACAGCCTGCAATTTAACCCCAGCCTATTAGAAAAAGGGCTCAGCAGATCCACACAAATGGAAATGACTACTTGCCACAGGTTTTTAACCAGGCTTCAAGATGATTTCTTTGTTAGTACCTTCAGGTTAATACCAGTTAGTTTTTGAACAGTTTCAATCTCATGCTAGATGATTTAAACCAGATGAAAATAAAAATATCTTACCCAAAATAAAAGAATACAGAAAATACAGTATTGTAGTATTTACTGAACAAAATAACAAAAATCATGTTCGCTTTTTTTTTTTTAAACAGCGTTAAGTAATCAAATTTAGGCCATACAAGCATCAACAAGAAATGTAAGTAACTGTACTATTAAGGTGGTATCTACAACTTTTTTAAACTGCTTGAAATCCAAAACCACAAATGTTGTATACCTCACTTAAAAATCATTCAAGTGCCTTGCACAATATTTAAAAAAATTGATAGTAAATGACTGGTATGAGTCGTACATGCAGTACCTGAATTTTATATTTCAATAGCTCAGGCCCAGATCATCAAAGCATTTAGATTTTCACTCCTCAGGGAAGCTCTGTGTCTCCATGTGTATTAACCCCTTCCCTGAAAAGAGTAACTGTTTTTGATGGTGTGAATTTCTAGCGTTGTCTTTCCCTATGCAGGGAGGGAAAGAGTCGATTTTACAGAAAGAATGGTTCCAATAGGCAGAAAGTTTATGGCACTGCAACTACATGAACCACCTTCCCTACACAACATAAAAATATTCTAATATTAAGGATTATTTTACAACTCAGTGGAAATATGCAGTAATGCAATTCATTTCCTTTGTCTGGATGACAAAAATGCAGTCTTAACAGTCACAAGAACCCGCCTTGTGTTAGCTATAAAAAAAAATATATTTATATATATATTTATGCAACTACTATGTGCATTAAACAAAACCACTGTATGAATCAGCAGGGTTCAATAACACTTGCATCTGAATCTCTGGAAGGGGTGCATTGAAGTCTATGGTGCTTCTCAGTAAGGACTCACAATGAAATGGTGAAGAATAGAAACCCATTTATTTTAAATCTTATTTTTCTTACCCCATTGCCTAAGAAATGGTCCATAAGCTCTCTGGCAGCTAAAAGGATCTGTTGCCTTTATTTCAACCTACTGCTGAGAAATGAAAAAATACACCTTAATACAAACCTGATAATTCATTTTTTAGTGAACACTGAAACTGAAAATCAGCCCAACGTCTTTGTGAACACCCATGAAATAATTCCACCATCATGAAAATTTTCTGTTTTCTTCAGCTCTAACCAATCTGTATATCATGAGTTGTTTAGCAGGCTAGTAATCAGCAATGTACAAGAAACATTGTATTACTCCTGGAAAGCATTTAGGTTGTGACTCCTTCAGGTTGGCAGGTTAATTTGGAATTGAAAAGTGTATTTCACATCTGCTTATATAAATGTTGGAAAATTCCTTTTTTTTTTTATTTACCTGTCTTAAGACAGTTTTCTCAATCACCTTTGAACACTGATCAGTGCCCTTTGCACTGAAATGGTACAGACTTTTTCCTCAGTCTTTGAGATAACAGAGAAGAAGACTTGAACCAAAGGGCAATGCCCTTGTGCACCAAAGCTTTATTATACTTCTGATTACTGTGCATCCCCACACCTAAAGCAAATAACATGGCACGTGTGCCATAGTTCTGATACTGTAGGTGTCCACTGACAAGTGTTCTGCATGAACCATTGTGTCTCAGTCCACTAACAAAAACTACTGTGCAGTAGTAATCTGGTATCTTAGATAGTTTTTCTTCTTGGACAAAGTTTATCCAGAATCTTCTTTCTATCAGGCTACAGCAGCTTAGGGCTCCTTTTCTTTAAAGAGAGGCAAAATAAATGTCTTACACCTGTAGGCCAGTACTGGTGTTCTGTCCCAGAAATTTTAGCACTGCTCTGATACGATGAACCCTTCTTTTTCTCCCACTGGTTCCACCTCAGCATAGGCAGGATGTCCAGATCCTCTTCTGAATTTCATTGCTGGCCATCTGCTTGGACGCCGCTACAACAGCAACAACAAAATAAACTTTTATGAAGGGTACTACAATAAATCCTTAATAAAAAAATCTAACAGTATCTTGCAATTTTGGGTTCTCATACTAAACCACACTCCCTGTAGTTGTTACAGGAATAGAAAGGCACAGTTCAGCAGCAGAAAAAGTCAGAGCAATGAACTCCTCTTTTTAAATTTGTGAGTGATGACTGTTCTCAAATACATAAACAATTACCACTACTCTTAGCAATGAAGAAGATGAAATAGCTCCTGTCTAAAATGGTTGATTATCAGATTTGTCACATAGAGAAACGGTGATCCACTAACCTCTAGAAGATCTGTCCAATGCCCTTCCTTCCTTCCTAGTTCTGCAGAGGAATTCTCTAACGTACTCTATACCATGAGAAAATATGTGGCAGAGTTGACGGAACTTTAATTAAAAAAATTATTTAGGATAAAATTCTGGCACGCTTATGCAGGACTCTCAAAATAATGACTTTCTATTTCAAGTGCAATAATTTCTACTTGAGTAGTTTACTTTGATGGTTCAAATAGAAGCAACGTTTTTATTTAAACTCTTAAGAGCTTTGGGTACAAGAGCCTTAAGAAGTCCTAACCAATTTCCACTAGGATCTTGAGTGCCTGCTTTAAAGACAGCTAGTAAACAGAGAAAAGAAATAGTTATTTTCTAGGGCAGATAAAACAATTCCTGTAATATCATGATATCTCTAGGGAGGAAAAGTGCTTTGAACAATCTGTATTTTCAAACGAATTAATGTCAGGTAAAGCTCAGAATTTGGGTGACCACTCTGAGATTATGTCAAAGGGAATAGCTTCCAGCAAAATAGGGAAACTCCTTCATAGAGTCAGTGAGAAGAAAAAGCTTGCCATAAAATTTTATCTGCCAAACATACTGATTTATTTCTCTTTACTGACAAGGCTTACAATATACTTGGAAGGAGGGCTAGAAGATAAAGCAACTTATATAGAAACATTGCAGGAAAATGAGAGAAAAATCAATGAAAACAATTTAAAGCCTATATTTTCATTGACAGCTCAAAAGCTAAATAATTTTACTTTATGATCTTTCTCCTGAATATAAACACTGCATTTGATTTTCTGTCCCTATAATACCCCATTTTTATTTCCTTTCAATCACAAAGGCTATTTCATGTTGCTGAGGGGTGTTGTTGGTGACTATAGTATAGCCACAGCCATGAATTGCTGGGACTCACTGTGCTCTTGGGCAGGAGTCACTAAAGAAACTTTGAGGTGCCACTGAATCTTGTTCCCAACAAACCACACAGCTGACTGCAGGTACAGCACAAAGTCTACCTCAGTGATCATTTTTGGGGAGATACCACATCAAAGCAACTGCTTCCTTTTCCTCCCATTGCAGGATCAGGTTACTTTTGAGGAATTCAGAGTTAAATTTTGTTTGGCAGATAATTTAAAATCCCAGGCCTTTCAGTGCAGCACCTTCCTACAAAGTAGGAAGGCAGAACATTGTCTTCTTTAATGGATGCCTCTTCCTAACAAGAAAACTTAGTCTATTTAAACTTTGGTAAGTTTTTTCTACCCAAGCTTGATTCTGTGTGTTTTCAAAATTAAGAAGGACAGTTTGGTTACTGCTAAAGAAAAAGGGTCATATTCTGTCCTCAGGCTCACTAAAGTAAATCAAGAATAATGCAATTAAACGTTAAGGGGTTTCTTTCAGATTTACACTGGTACAAATGAGAAAGGAATTTGATGGAGAGGTCTCTAATGAAAAGGGAAAAGGAAAAACAACTGGAAAACTAGCAGGAAAGAATAATTAGAAACAGTATCAAATGGTCACACATAAGGATGAGCTGAGTTTTAATATACTAAGTTGCTCCCTACTTTAATTTTAAGATGTACTTATGATTAGTTACTACTTCATTGCAACATTGATGATAGATACTAAATTTACTATTTTGTGCTACTCTTTTTAAGTGGCCTTTCCAGATGATTAGTTATGGAACAGATGTGTATCAGTTTTAATGATACAAAGCCATAAGACATAAATATGAACTGTTTTTCCAGTAGTAAACCAAAAGACTTCGAGGTCATCTTCTATATTTCAATTACAGTTTTCTGTGGTTTCTTGTCACGTATGAGGTGAGATTTTCCCTTTATAGTGCTTGTTTAATTTCAGCTTCATTACGTGCACGTTGACAGCTTTAAAAGAGAGCACTGACAAACTATCAATTCATTGCCTTGTGTAACCCCTTGAAAGATGTAAAAATATTTCAGCTTTAACTGAAAAAACTGAAAGCAGCTTGATCGATATTGGGAGATACTAGTTCTTCTGGTTACTGAAGCAGCTCAGGAAATACCCAATGCATTCTTCCTCTTTTTTCTCTGTGAGGACTAACCAAAAAAAAAAACAGAAAAAAAACCCTACCCCCAAACAAACCAACCAAATAAAACACACCAAAAAACCCCCACCAAACTGAAACCAAACTGGGAGAAAGCAAGCTAGGTGTTTAATTAACTAATTCCCAATTTTAGCAGGAAAAAATATGTTTCTTCCTCTAGAATCAGAACACTTAAAGGAAATCCTCTGAGCTGTGGCTGGAGAATTGTAACTCCTTCCTTTCAGTGTATTACAAAGTAGGAAAACAGGACTAGTATTTTTTTTTTCATTTTTTGAAGCTTCCTTGAGTTCACTACTTTAAGTAATGAAGTTGAGAGAAAAGCACTTGGGACCCTACATGACCAGGATGCAGAAGAAATATGTTGAAATTCAGGAAAATAATTTAGGATACACATAAAAATGTTATTTCCTATTGAAGATCAGTAAGATAAAAGGAAAAAAATCCAGCAGTTGGATAATTCATGGAAAGTGAGGTCTAGTTTTCATGTTTCCTACATTATGTTGCTCTACATCATTGCTGGTGGCTGTGCAGGATGTTTGACTTCCTGCAGCAACACAGACTAAAATAAGTATATTTATATCCGTCTTGCAGAAGAGGCAGAATTTATACCATTTGTCTTACTTCTGAGGGCAAAGGGGGGATCCCACCTAGTAAAACAAAAAGGTAGAAACTGGAGTAACCTCTCACTCTGGTTGCAAGGAAAGGTCTCCAAGTGTATTCTTCTTTTTGTTCACTTTCTTCTTTTGACATCTTTCAATATCAGAGGTTTTTGAGCCTCTTTTTTCCATGAAAATCATATGCTCTCATTTAGACGTTTTAAAAAAAAAAGGGTTTGATACATATCTGAGTGCAGTAAATTGAATATACTTAAATAAAACTCAGTTGTTATGACCTGAACATGGTCCCTAGTGTTACAGTCGATGATTTTTTTAAGGTAGCCAGCTGTAGACTATCTTATTTCCTGCTGAACAGTAACCAGCATTATTTACAAGATTGGTTACAGGAGGATGGACAGTTGTGTAAAGTTGTGTTGAAATGCTGGTATCTGAAGATTGATGCCTCGCTTCTGAGAGTTTTTGATGCTGACGTTATCACTATCTCTAAAATTTATACCACTTAACATTCTTCATCTGAGATAATAATTTATCAAAAGCAATTGTAATAATGTATATTTTGTTAGCTGCAGCAGTTATAAGTTTTTACATTTCCTTTCATACATCTGCATGAAGACAAGTTTCAGTAATAGACAGGAGGAACTTGGCAACAAGTATTACATATTTGATATTCTTAAATCTTAGCCTCTGATCCCCATGCCATCCTTATTCTATGTTTCCCTGAGTACACAAAAATGGAATGAGAACAATTCTGTATAGATCTGCAATGTCAGAAGAGCAGAGAAGGAAAACAGTAATGAAATATTTCCCCTCTGTCATCTCCTCAACCCTGCCACACACATTTTGTTCTGAAAGATTTCTGCAACACTATCAAAAGTTTCTTTGTATATTTCAACCAGCAAAAAATCCCAGAGTGCTTGTGCATGCATCGGCTCTTCATTCCTATTCAGCAGTAAACCTGAACAGTGGATTTCATCAAGACATGTGCACACTCTTTTTAAAACTGAATTTACATGAGTATAAATACTTGACATAGCATGAGAAGGTCAATCTTTCAAAGTCTTGACTCTCCAGAACTCCCTGGTAAATTTGGTTCACCACTAAATTACACAAAAGCTGAATTTATTGAGCACCTTTTAGACTGAATGCTTTGGCACAACTTCGTCTCCTCTATCTATTAACTTTTTTCTATATTTCAATCCTTCAAACTTCCAGAGGACTGATTCACTGTGTCTACTGAAGGGCTGCATCTTACATTTCCACTGTCAATGTCTTTGTCTAATTCAGTAGTAAAAACACATTAAAATCTATTTAAAAGCTGTACTCCTTAACCACACTTTGTCAAGAAGGCCTATTTGATGATAAGGAAATATGCAAATATGGAGTGATTAAAATTCTGGATTTATTGTCAAAACTTAAGAAAAACTATTATGACTTCCTAGAATAAACTAAGAAAAAGGGAACAAAACTATAGTAAAGTCTTACTAAATGATGAAATGACTAAATGTTAATCTGATACTATTCGAGACCCATTAGTCTAAGTACTTGTCCAGTGCCTCAGTAGTCAGGGCTTTTGGTTTTTTTGTGAGAAGATCCTTTTGTTACCAATTACCTTGACCATAACATGCATTTTTGTGCTCAGTTACCTGAAATTTGTGCATCAGTCTTTAATCTCTGCTATAAACATCCAATTTATTTGGCAAATCACAGTCAGAAGTGGATGAGGCTACAAATATCTGAAATTATACTTCTGATATATATTCCCAGGAATAAGAAAAGAACAATTTCCTGACGCCATGTCAAACTCATATTTTGAAGACACTGTCCTCAAATAAGGATTGCTTCAGACTTAAGATTCAGTAGAGTCATTACTGGCTTCATTTATTTTTCTTTTTGATAGAAGTACTTGTTTAATGTATCTTTTTGTGATTTAAACCATCTTTCTTTAAGGGTTTCTGCAGTCTAATGTTCATCTGATGAGCTGGCTGCTTAAGGA